CCTGAACCTCTATGAACCCAAACTGGTCATGAGCTCATCAGGTAATGTAGCGGTGAAAGCGGTGAAACAATCCTCTGATTACCTTGTAGTAGCCTGATATGTCCTATATTTTACCACTTTTACTATATATTTTACTATGTTTTCATTGCATTTATATACGGTTTTATACCTTTAAAGGTAGTTTTCTTGTATTTGTAGTTTTAGAGTCTTAACAGGGAAAAATGAGCAAAAAGAGCCAAAAGAGGTGTAAACCAAGCTACAACAACTTTCACAAGCCAAAGATACTACCAAGACCAAAGAATTCACAAGATACAACATTCTACCAACTTGGATAGAATGTATATTTCGGAATTTTAGCAATAAAAGAAGGAGCAAATCAACTTGGAATTGAATGAAACTTGGTGGAAAGATAGAGATTTGAGTTAAATTCACAATGGAGTTTGAATCATCAGAATTGGAGCTGTGAGCAGAAAGATTCACTGGAATTACTGAAGACACGTCAAGCTACCTCAGAAACGAAGCAAGTGCAAAATCGACTCAAACACCAGGCTGCCTCGTGGACCATTGTTCCAGACCGATGCCAGCACAAATCAAGGCAATTCAGGCCCAATACCGGTCGTGTTCTTTGACCGACATTCTCAACCGACCTTGGAGCAACTTTTGACATAAAAGACCGTTTTGCCCTAAAGTGAAACCTTGAAGACCCTAGACCTCTATATACTTGTTTTTAGCCTTTTGTCAGGGATATGCCGAAACAATAGAGTAGTTTTTATCATAAGGAACAGCCACCACGAGTTCTCTTGGTGTTCTTCATTAGCTTTGGATTTTAGAGCAATTGGTGGATGATCTCGCTTTGTATCTCGATATAGAGAAGAATCCTTTACCTTTACTCTTTAATTCAAATTTATTTATCATGAATTCATCATCTATCTCTTGTCTTTCGGGCAACATGTCCGAGTAATTCACTAGTTAAGGTTTTCAATGAGTTTCATAATTCGATAATTGATTGATGATTGTTTAGGGAATACATAAAAGTCTTCATCTTTACTTA